GGAGCGGCCACTGCACTCCAGTCTGGGTGACAGAGTGAGACTCCAACAAAAAAAAAATAGATGTGACTCCAGCTAAAAAAAAAAAAAGATGTGAGAATAAAGTATTGCTTAGGGGCCTGAGCAGGCTGGCATGTGTCACCCAGGATACTTGGTCTCTGAGCAAACTCCCAGAATAAGCTCAAACTCCGCAAAAGGCTGGCTCTGCCTGGAGTGGGAGGGGTCCCAAGAGTGCATACTTCCTGTGATGTGCTCATGGAGGGTCAGGTACTTGCTAAACACTTTTGTACTCAGGAATTCACTTAATCCTCAAGGCAATTCTATTGCAGCCCCATTGTACAAATGAAGAAACAGAGGTGCAGAGTAGTAACAGGGTAAGTAAGCAGAAGGGGCAAGATCTGAACTCAGGTGCCCTGGCTTCAGAGTGTGTGTTCTTACCCCCTGCACACCACTGCGCTGGCTGGTAGGGGACTGAAGGACGCTCCTGGACAGTTTCTGCAGGTGTGCTCTGCAGGGGTTAAAATGACAGCCCTAGCCTGTTGGGCAGGATGATGAGAGGGAGTGGTTGTCCTGCACTGAAGGAATGAGGTACCCACCTTGGCTTCAAAGAAGTCCTTGGCACCTTTGACACCCTCCAGGGCAACATCAATCTCTGAGAGTTTTGCCAGCGCCATCAGCCCACTGTCCTCCTGCAGTTCCCCAGCTGCGGCCTTGTGGAAAATGAGCAGGAACTACAAGAGAAAGAAAGCAGGGAGCCAGAGTCAGCCTTGCTGAGATTCACAGCAAGTCCAAATTGAATTCATTTTGCCAAACATTATTTGTGTGTGAGACAAATTATTTTTCTTCTCTTATTAGGCTGTCAAAAATGAAAACATGGGCCAGGCACAGTGGTTCACACCTGCAATCCCAGTACTTTGGGAGGACTGCTTGAGGCCAAGAGTTCAAGACCAGCCTGGGCAACATAGCAAGACCCCATCTTTATTTAAAAAATTGTAAAAATAGTCAGGCATGGTGGCATGTGCCTATAGTCTTAGCTATCTGGGATCACTTGAGCCCAGGAATTTAAGGTTACAGTGAGCTATGATCGTGCCGCTGTACTTATTTCCAGAGGTGGCAAAGCAAGACCCTATCTCTTAAAACAAAAGAAGGAGGGGAGGGAGGGAGGGAGAGATAGAGGGAGGGAGAGAAGGAGACAGGGAGGGAGGGAGGAAGGGAAGGAAGAAAATATGCCCATTTTTTACAGGAATATAGGAAAATGGGTACCCTCATTTATCTGATGGGTGTATAAATTGATTCAAAATTTTTGGTGGGCACTTTGGAAATATGTTCCAAAAATAGATGCATTTCCCCCTTCCAGCCATTACTCCCACGGCTGGGAATTTATCTTTCAGAAACACTCCCACAATAGTTTTGAGCATTACCTATAAAAGCAAAAAATTGGCAATGCCCTAGTTTACAGCCATGAAAGAAAATAAAATAAACCTGGTGCGTTTCATTTTTGCATTGGATTGTTTACCTATCTTATCGTTTGCTAAAGATCTTCACAGAACTTTGTCTATTTCAAATACTTTAGCTCTGTCAGTTGCCTTTTAACTATGTTTATGACAATTTTTGACTTTTAAAAATTGTACATAAGCTCTATTTTTTTTCTCTCACCAGTGTTATGCTTAGAAAAACCTTTCTCAACACCAAGGTTACATAAACAATTGCCTATGTTTTGTTCTACTATTTTATGGCTTCTTGTTTTTTTAAACATGTAAATATTTAATCTCTAAAATTTATTCTGATCTATCATGTGAGGTTAATCATTAACCCTATTTTTCTTCCAAATGGTTAGTTAGTAATCCTCACACCATTTATTGAATAATCCATCTTCTTCCAACAGATTAAAATTGTAACCTGAATAAATTCATCTTTGAAGGCAATTTATCACTCGTATTATTCCACAGAATAAATTTTTATTTTATTTTATTTTTTTTCAATAAAAACAAAATAAAACAGTTTATTAGCAAGAAAAAGGGAAGGAAAAGGAAAGATTCATGGCAGAAAGACTTGCCATAAGCAAGTTTCTCAAAGAAAAACCACCCTACAGAATACATTTTTAAATAAATAAATTGGCCAAACTTAAATGGCAATTACCCCATCTTCTTGTCCTTCTCTCCCAAGGCAAATTTGTAGCTTTTTTAGTTCTCTTTTAAAAATAATTTTTATGAATTTACTTGTCAAACAACTGCTATCCAACTTCCATGATTTATTTTTCCTTTTGGAAAGAATATCTATTCCAAGTCATTATCACAAGAGGATCTCTCCAGGTTTTCAGGTGCTACCTAAAATATGTGCACCTACAGGAAAGTTTCAGATTCCCAAGTCTTTTTTCACTATCATCTTCCCTAAAAAATGCCTTCCTCAAAGGAAAAAAAAGAAAAACATTACCTAAAGTAGAGTGATAGGTTAAACAACATTGACAGGCTTTCCGAGTTCCCGCTGGAGTATCTGCTTCTGCCAAGGCTCTTAATCCCTTAGAGGGATGTGTTTCATTCAAGAGAGAATCTCAACCACTGCAACCCAAAAATGCTTTGCCAATAAACCTTTGTGTTGCTCGTTTGGGGGCTCCTAACTCCACTGTGGACATTGGCAAATCCAAATCAGCAGAGGAAGCAAGATGCCCACAGACTTGTAGCTTCGCGGAGGCTAATGTGGCAGCCAAGTTCATCCACCTGTAGCTTCAAAGTTTCTCACTAGAGGCCGGCAAAGACTCAGTTTGCTGCAGATCATCAGAGTCAAAACATTTGCTGGGGGTGGGGGCGGTTAGCCTGTTAAAGGAGGCCAGGCCCCCAAGAATAGGATGGAAGCCAAGGGGGACAGAGGAAGTTCTCACAGAAGAGATCAAAGTCACAGACTTAAGTGCTGCAAACATGAGCCATGTTGTGGGAAGGACTCAAATACCTGTCCTTAGATCCCCTACCCAATCTTCAGGCATTTCGTTAACAGAAGGTCTCACCTCATTGCTTCATGAAGCAAACAGAAGAAGTAGCCTCCCAGTGCCAGCCATTCTCAAGAAACCCAGGGAGGCAACCCAGAAAACAGGGAGCATCACCTTGAGCTCAGCACCAATCCAAGCGACCTCAGGGGACTTGCTGTATCCCTGAAACACAGCTTTCTCACATTTAGTGTGAAGGTGACAGTGTTTCTGTTCACAGAAGGGCTTTGTGAACTAGAAACATTAGTGAAAGTTCTCCTCATGGGTCCTTTCCCCAGAGCTGTTTCCTCTGAATCCCCAGGTCTAGAATAAATACAGGCCACGTACACTCAACTCTGCCAACTCAGCATATGACCAACAGCAGTCCTGTTATAACTTAGGAGTCCCCCTCAAAGAAGAAAAAAAAATTCCAGCTCAAGCTGAAAATGTTCAGCCTTCCATGAAGCATGCCAGACATTCCCATTTAGTTTTATGACAATCACTAACCGCCCCTGAATGACAATTTCTCCAACTGCCCAGCCTTGTTTGTCTTCCTATTTATAGTTCACAAAGACGGGCATGTTGCAGAAGAATTGGAAAATGTCCTAGTTGTGACTGTGAGGAAAGAGGGGGAGGGGAGGAGAGGGAGAAAACAAAGAGACAGAGAACTGACAAAGCTAAAATCTCTTTCACACACAAGCTATCGCTGCTTCTGATACATTTAGACAATTTTTAACTTCATGGCTTTGGCTGATGAAGCAAACACTTCCCTTGTATTAGTTAGATGGCAAGTGACAGAAATAAACTTGGTTTTTTGTTTGTTGAGTCCATATCTCACTCTGTGCCCAGGCTGGAGTGCAGCGGCAAGATCAAGGCTCACTGAAGCCTTGACCGCCTGGGTTCAAGCGATCCTCCCGCCTCAGCCTCTGGAGTGGCTGGTACTACTGATGTGTGCTACCATGCCCGGCTAATTTTTGATTTTTTTCTAGAGATGAGGTCTCATTAAGTTGCCCAGGCTGGTCAGGAACTCCTGAGCTCAAGCAATCCTACCGCCTCAGCCTCCCAAAATGTTGGGAATATAGGCATGAGGCACTGCGCCCAGTAAAACTTGTGGCCTTAAGAAAAAGGAAGTATTCATCATATCATATGAATGTATCAAAAACCCAAGGCCAAGATACAGTGAACTGGAGGAGGACTGGAACTGGGAGAGGCAAAGGTCTCAGGACGGAGGCAGCATCCCCCTCCACCTCTTCTGTCTGGTCCATGTGGTAGGAAATTGCCACCTCACATGGAGTTACTCTACCAGGAATAGCCACCGGCAGAGCCAATTTGCAACACTTCAGTCTCAATTTCAAAATGCCAGCAAAGAGCACTCTATTGGTCTAATCAGGCCAGGGGTCCATCCATGGTCCAATCAACTGTGATCAGGCAGGAGGGCCACCCAGCATAGTCAGGGCTGCCAGGGGCCCAGTTTATCAGTGTGCTTGGGCTGCTCTAACAAATTACCAGAGTGGGTGGTTTAAACAAGAGAAACATATTTTCTCACAGTTCCAGATGCTGAGAGTGCAAGATCAAGGTACCAGCAAATATGTTTGCTAGTGAGGGCTCTCTTTCTGGCTTATAAAAGACAGAAAGAGCCAGGCTCGGTGGCTCAGCCTGTAATCCCGCACCTTTGGGAGGCTGAGGTGAGTAGATTGCCTGAGCCCGCGGGTTCGAGACCCGCCTGGGCAGCGAGACCTCATCTCTACAATAAATCAGAAAATCAGCCGGACGTGGTAGCACATGCCTGTAATTCCAGCTAGTCGGAAGGCTGAGGAGAAGGATCGCCAGAGCCCAGCAGCAGGTCGAGGCTGCGGTGGCCGGGAGCGGCCACTGCACTCCAGCCTGGGCGACAGAGTGAGACCCCAACTCAAAAAAAAAAAAAAAAAAAAAAAAGACAGAAAGGCTGGGCATGGGGGCTCAAGCCTGTAATCCTAGCACTTTGGGAGGCCAAGATAAGAGGATTGCTTGAGCCCCGGAGTTCAAGACCAGCTTGAACTGGTTCAAGACCATAGCAAGCTGACATCTCTAAAAAAAAAAAAAAGAAGACACAGAAAGAGAACTTAGTTCTCACAACAGTCTTGAGGGAGAGCTATTCACACTGCATTTTTTTTTTTTTTGAGCCAGGATCTTGCTCTGTCACCCAAGCTGGAGTGCAGTGACATGGTCACGATCATGGATCACCACAGCCTCAACCTCCTAGACTCAGGAAATCCTTTTGCTTCAGCCTCCTGAGTAACCAGGACTACAAGCACACACCACCACGCTAGGCTAATTTTTTTATTTTTGTAGAGATGAGGCCTCACTATGTTGCCCAGGCTTATCTCAAACTCCTGGGCTCAAGTGATCCTCTGGCCTTGGCCTCTCAAAGTGCTGGGATTATAGGTATGAGCTGCCATACCTGATCCACACCACTAATCTTTTTTTTGAGTCAGAGTCTCACTCTGTTGCCCAGGTTAGAGTGCAGTGGCACATTCACAGCCACTGCAGCCTCGACCTGCTGGGCTGAGGCAATCCTTCCACCTTGGGCTTTCAAGTCACTGGAAACTACAGACACAAGCCACCATGTCCAGCTTATTTTTTTTATTTATTGTAGAGACAAGGTCTCACCAAGTTGCCCAGGCTGAACTCGAACCCCTGAGCTTAGGCAATCCTCTTGCCTCGGTCTCCCGAAGTGCTGGGATAACAGACTTGAGCCACCGCGCCTGGCCTACCACACCATTATTTTGAAGACACAAAACGAAATCTCAGAAGTAAAAAAACTTTCTCAGGTGGCCCAGCTCTATGCAGCAGACTAAGGTCCAACTGTAAGCCCATTGTCTTTTTACCATATCAACACAGCCTCAGCCCACCAGCACCTTATAACACAAGCAGAAACCAGCGGTGAAAGAATATAACAGCAAGTTGAACAGGAAAGTATGCATGGTAACTTGTCTTTTACACTGGGTACAACTCCTAGAGATGAGACCACTACAGGCTCAGGACTGACAAAGGATTGAATGCAAATGTCACTGAAGCTCTGTAAGGAGTTTGAGAGCCCATAGGAATCGTTGGAAATTTCTAGGCCTCAGATGCCCAACATCCGTGGAAAATGGCCAATCCAGCAGCTAACCAAAAGCTGTGGTCCCTGACACAGCGAGGGTTTGTGTTTTAGTTCACTTGGTGACTGCACAGCCCGCTAAATTCTTTCTCAACTCCTGTTCCCAGAGGTCACAACCTTGCCACTGAAGCTCTTTCCCCACGATTTCCTCCAAAGCTTCATCAAGGCAAAAGTTTCTGCCTTTTATGCCCTAGGGGTACCAAGGCTGGAAAGAGCCTGGAAAGAGCCAACACCCAGCAGGAGCCAAATGGGGTAGTCATGAAGACAGTGTGGCCGTGATGAGGGCAGCCATGGGGCACAGAGGCCGCAGCCTACTCCCAACTCTGTGCTGGGGCCTGGTAAATCCTGACCTTCGTAGCCCTTCAACTCCTAGGTTCTGGAATGAGAAGGCTGGATGAGTTTCGCCTGGGGGTTATGCCCAACATTGTATCTCCTATCTCCACACCTGCAGGGTCAGGAAAGGAAGAGATGGGCGATTCTGGAGCTGATTTATGGGTAGAGAGAGGCAAGCCCAGTTTGCCACAGATGGGAGGGGGCTGGCTCTTGGCTGCCAGCTCAGTCTGCAGACCAGCTTCCAGCCTGGACAGGAGACCAGCACTTGACCAAAGGCCTCACCATCAGAAACGAGAATGCCAGCATCCCACCATTTCTGGAATAACCAAGATTAAATGCCAGGAATAGCTGGCTCGGTGGCTCAGCCTGTTATCCCGCGCCTAGGGAGGCTGAGGTGAGTGGATTGCCTGAGACTGCGGGCTCGAGACCCCCCTGGGCAACTTGGCGAGACCTCATCTCTACAATAAATCAAAAAATTAGCCGGGCATGGTAGCGCACGCCTGTAATTCCAGCTACTTGGAAGGCTGAGGCGGAAGGATCACCGGAGCCCAGCAGGTCGAGGCTGCAGTGGCCGGGAGCAGCCACTGCGCTACAGTCTGGGCGACAGAGTGAGACTCCAACTAAAAAATAAATAAATAAATAAATGCCAGGAATAAAGGGCAGTCCTCTCCTCCTAGCCAAGACAAAACAGAGAACGAGGAGCTGGGTTAATCCTCCAAGCCTTTAACTCAGCTGCTGTCATGGAGGTTATTATAATATGGGTGCCAACTGACATGTTCAGAGGCCTTCTGATCAAACTCACAACACACCTAAGACATGAAATTCCCTGCCCTGTGGGGTGGCATCTTTGCCATGGAAGAAATCTAATGGTCTTGAGACATTTCCTCCAACTAGAAATAGCTTTACCACTGAGGTTCTCAGTCATTTGGGGATCAGGTTGTGAATGCTAGGTACACTCTTTGTGAGGAGACACTGGTACACACAAAATTTTGCCTGCAATTTTAGAGGTTCATAGACCAAGAAACCCATTCTTACAGTTTGGGGGTACTCCCCAGGCACAGAGTAAGACCTCTTTTTAGCTATTTATTTATTTGTTTGTTTATTTATTTAGAATCAGGGTCTCGCTCTGTCTCCCAGACTTAAGTGCAGTGGCACAATCACAACTAATTGCAGCTTCAAACTCCTGGCTCAAGCGATCCTCCCACTGGAGCCTCCCACCACCATGCCCAACTAATTTTATTTTTTTATAGAAATGAGCTCTCACTCTATAGCCCAGGTTGGTCTCAAACTCCTGTGCTCAATAAATCCAAAACTTAGATGGGTATGGTGGCGCGTGCCTGTAGTTCCAGCTACTTGTAAGGCTGAGATGGAAGGATGGCCTGAGTCTAGAAGGTCGAGCCTGCGGTGGCTGTGAGTGTGCCACTGCACTCCAGCCTGGGCGACAGAGTAAGACTCCGACTCAGAAAAAAAGGTTTAATCTATAAAATAAAATACTATAAAACCACCAAAACTTTGCACCCATAAATATCCAGTATGAATATTGTGGTGAGCATCCTTCTAGATACTGTAACATTTTTTTTTTATTTTTTGAGTCAGAGTCTTACTCTGTCGTCCAGGCTGGAGTGCAGTGGCACATTCATGGCTACCATAGACTCAACCTGCTGGGCTCAAGCGATCCTTTTTCCTCGGCCTTCCAAGTAGCTGGAACCACAGGCACACACCACCATGCCTGATTAATTTGATTTATTATAGAGACGAGGTCTCTCCATGTTGCTCAGGCTGGTCTCAAACCCCTGAGCTTAGGCAATCCTCTCGCCTCCGTCTCCCAAAGTGCTGGGATTACAGGCATGAGCCACCATGCCTGGCCAGATACTGTAACATTTTACCCAAATAAGGTTACACTACCCACACTGATTTTCAACCCACTTACTAAGCATTTTCCTAGGCCAGCACTGAGATTTGCTATCTCCTTAAAGATGTTTTTAAAAGCAGAATTGCAGGTGAACTACCCAAATGGTTCTCTAGAGAGGCCAAACCCATTTGTACTCCAGAAGACTGTAAATTTGAGGGTCCTCTCAGGGGCACCCCCCCAGGGGCTCAGGACCAGGACTACGCAGGTACCTCCCGGAAGCTGAGTTTGCCATCGAAGTCCTCGTCCACCTCCTTGATCATGCTCTTCAGGCCCAGGTGGGTCTGAGGGGCCCCCAGCTTCTCCATCATCAGTTTCAGCTCCATCAGGTCGATGAAGCCATCCCTCCCGGCATCATACCTGCAAGGCCACAGGAAGGCATGACCAGGACAAAAATTAAAACACCTGTTAGTCTCCTGAATGTGTAATTCCTTTGACCTTATTCATTGCAAAGTGACTCAGATACCTCCTGCTTTGCAATGCCCACTCAGGTCACCTGCTCAGAAGGGACCCCTCCCTGCTCAAAACACCTTTGGGTTTTGTATGACTCAAAGTGGACCTTGTGCTCCATGTTGGTTTTCACATCTTTTTTCTCCTCAACTAAGCCATAAGTTTCTCAGAGGTGAAAAACATGCCTTGTTTACCTTTATTTCCCCCCTTTTCGGTCAAGAAACATCAACTGAGCACCTGCTACTTACTGGACACTGGAGGGGTTGTAGGAGCTCACACCGATATCCACAGAGAAAGTTAATGATTCCAGGAATCTCCTCTTGGCCACTGTCCCACACCCATTTCCAACAACCTGCCTTCTCTCTTGCTGGTCCTATGTCTCTAGAGGTTACTTCCCACCCTTGTACATGGCGGTGACTTGGGCCTGGTCCCAGCTCTCATTCTGTGCTTCCCCCTCTGGTTCACTTATTTGGTCTCTAAATCTGTGTGGTTGACTGCCGAAAGGCTCTGGGTCTGTCTCCTAACAGCACTGGCCCCCCTGCTGGCTGTCCACCCAGCCCAGCCCCCTGCTGGGAAACAAACCCAGCCTCTCCAGGTGGGGGTTCTGGCCCTGTTTCCTTCTCCCTGGGCCAGTCATCTTCAGTCCTCTGTGCTCTGTTTTCTCCCGGCCACTCCCCCCCATTACAGGGTGATCTCACAGCCTACCTGGCTCTCCTCCATTCAACTGCTTCCTAGTTTCTGCTACCCAGAGACCCCTTTTTGCTCAGGTATGAATATCCTGCTTTAAAAAACAAACTAGCTGGGGCAAGGTGGTTCACACCTGTCATCCCAGCACTTTGAGAGGCTGAGGTGGAGGATTGCTTGAGCCCAAGAATCTGAGACCAGCCTGGGCAACATAGTGAGACCTTGTTTCTATAAAATAAAAAAAATCAGCCAGGCGTGATGGTGCGTGCCTGTAGGCCTGGCTACTTGAGAGGCTGAGGCAGGAGAACCGCATGAGTCCAGGAGGTAGAGATTGTGGTGAGCTGTGATCATGCCACTGCACTATAGCTTGGGCAATAAAGTGAGACCCCCAACTCAGAAATAACTGCTACAACACTAAATCAGTTCACAACAGCCAAAAGGTGGAAACCCAAGTGTCCATGGACAGATAAATGGATAAACAAAATAGGGTATATCCATATAATACAATATGGTATTTTATACAATGAAATATTATTCAGCAATCAAAGGAAGGAAATTCTGACATATGAGGACATTCTGCTAAGTAAGACAGCCACAAAAGGACAAACCCTGTGTGATTCCACTTATATGAGATTCCTAGAGTAGTCAAATTCATAAAGAATTAAAGTAGAATAGTGGTTACCAGGGACTGGGGGGAGGGGAAACAGAGGTTTATTGTTACTGAGTAAAGGTTCAATCTGGAATAAGGAAACAGTTTTGGAAATGGATGGGGGTGATGTCGGTGCAAGAAAAGTTTCTAGAGATGGATGGTGGTGATGGCGGTCCAATAATGTGAATGTTCTTAATGGCACTGAATGGTACTCCTAAATGGTCACACTTGGTTGGGTGTGGTAGCCAGGAGCCCAGGGGTTTGAGGCCAGCCTAGACAACATAGCTAGACCTCATCTCTACAAAAAAAAAAAAAAATCAAGAAAATAAGCTGGGCATGGTGGTGCACCCCTGTAGTCCCAGCTACTTAGGAGTCTGAGAGAGGATCCCTGAGTCCAGGAGGTCAAGACTGGGGTGAATCATGATCATGCCACTGTACTCCAGCCTGGGTGACAGAGTGAGAAACCCACTCAAAAAAAGTTATATTTTATGTTAAGTGTATTTTTAAAAAATTAAATAAGGCTGGGTACAGTGGTGTGCACCTGTAATCCTAGCTACTCGGGAGATGGAGGTGGGTGGATTCCTTGAGCCCAGGAGTCTAAATCCAGCCTGGGCAACATAGCAAGCCCCTATCTCTTTAAAAAGTGAATAAAATATAAACTCAAATAAACAAATCAGGCTTCCTCACTATCCATTTGCCCCCTCCCACACTCCCCAGTAAGAAAAACTCACCATTATTGAAAACAACTACGCCACCAACCACCCACCAAGAAATGTAGCCAGTGGGCAACTAGAAATCTAACACTGTGGGCTAGTAGTATTCAAGACCCACAAGGTCAGGCTGGAAAGGAGGCCCAGGAATCCTCCACAAGCTCCATTCCTGCCACAATGGCCAACCCATGCCATTCCTCCCACCCAGCTGCCTCCTCCCTCCCCTCCTCTGTGGCCTTCCTGTACCCCGGAGCTTTCAGAGCTGCCCGCGTCCTCCTTTCTGGCTCTCCAGCAGCACCCACTGTCTGTCCTCTGGGACTCAGTGTTCCCCATCTTCCTCTGCTGGGTACTTCTTACTCAAGCAGCTCTGTGTTGCCACTGGGTGGACCCTCCCTGCTGGAAGAGTTACACTGCAAGGCACTGAAGGACACAAATCCCTGGATGGCTGCTGGTAAGGCTTGGGGAGCCCTGAAGGATGAGGCAGGTGTCTTAGATCTGGAAACAAACAAGGTGCTTCAGGTTTCCAGGAAGTAGGCAGAGTATGTGAGTCTCAGATGGACCACCGAGAATCCAGTATTATCAAAGGATGACTTGTAAGTACCTTAAAAAATAATGAATTCCATGGGTTCGCTAAAATAACTCAGAGATGGACCTCATTTACCTATTTTTTTACTTTAAAAAAAAATAGCAGGCCGGGAACGGTGGCTCACTCCCATCTGTAATTCCAGCAGTTTGGGAGGCTGAGGCAGGTAAATCACTCAAATCCAGGAGTTCCAGACCAGCCTAGGCAGCATAGTGAGACTCATTTCAACAAAAAAATTTAAAAATAGAAATTAGCTGGGCATGGTGGCACACACTTGTAGTCCCAGCTACTGAGGAGGCTGAGGTGGGAGGATCACTTTAGCCCAGGAGGTCGAGACTGCAGTGAGCCAGGATGGTGCCACTGCACTCAATTCAGCCTGGGTGACAGTGAGACCCTGTCTCAAAAACAAACAAATAAATAAATAAAATAACAGCTTTATTGCAATATCATCTACATACCATAAAATTCACTGTACAAGTCAGTGGGTTTAATATATTCACAAGGTTGTAAAGCCATCATCACTATCTAATTCCAGAACATTTTCATCACCCTAAAAATAAATCCATACCCATAGGCAGTCATTCCCCATTCCCCGCCCCCCACCCACAGCCTTTATCAACTGCTAGTGTTTCTGTCTCTGTGGATTCGCCTCTTCTGGGCATTTTATACAAATGGGATCATATAACAGATGGTTGGTCTGCTCTGTCTGGTTTCTTTCGCTTAGTATCACATATTCAAGTTTCACTCATTTGTAGCATGTGCTAATCAGTACTTTTTCCTTTTCATTGTTGAGTAATATTCTACTGTATACCATATTTTATCTGCTCATCAGGTGATGGGCATTTGAAGTGTTTCCACTTCTTGACTATTATGAATAGTGCCGCTTTGAACGTTCATATGCCAGTGTTTGTGCATACATGTTTCCGTTTTCTTGGGTATATACCAAAGACTGGAGTTGCTGGGTCATGTGCTCATTTACTTTTGAAACACAGCTATTAAGTTGGTCTCACAGAATGTCATGGCTGATCTTATGTGGTTGCTTAGGTGAGCAAGGACTTCCATTAGGTCCTTGGAGGGAAGATGAACAGGTATAGAGGCCCATACAATAAGTGGACTGGCTGTTAGACACAGAGCCACCCAGAAAGGGTGCTGACTATCAGATTTCCTGGTGACACAAAGGTGGGGCAAAATCTAGGTCCGAAATATCCAGTAAGTTAGTACGGTGTCCAGGGATCGAATATAGCAGGGAGCCTGGGCACGATGGCTCATGCCTGGAATCCCAGCACTTTGGGAGTCCAAGATGGGAGGATAGCTTGAGCCAAGGAATTCAAGACCAGCCTGGGCAACATAGTGAGACTTCGTCTCTATGAAAACTAAAAAAATTAGCCAGGCACGGTGGTGTGTGCCTATAGTCCCAGCTACTCGGGAGACGGATCACCTGAGCCCAGGAGTTCAAAGCTGCGACAAACTGTGATTGTGCCACTGCACTCCAGCCTGGGTGACAGAATAAGAGCCTACATTTAAAAAAAAAAGTAAGGCCAGGCATGGCTGTTCACACCTATAATCCCAGCACTTTGAGAGGCCGAGGTGAGAGAGCTGTCTGAGCCCACAGGTTCCAGACCAGCCTAGGCAACTTGGCGAGACCTCATCTCTACAATAAATCTGAAAATTAGCCGGGTGGCTGGCATTGCCTGTAGTTCCAGCTGCTTGGAAGGCTGTGGTTGAAGGATCGCCAGAGCCCAGCAAGTTTAGGCTGTGGTGGCATTGAGCATGCCACTGCACTCCAGCCTGGGTGACAGAGTGAGACTCCAACTCAAAAAAAAAAGGAAAATTTACACTATCTAGATCTTACCACAACTACAAACACATGCAAAGTCCTGAAACTAAGATTCCCCGAGCCAACTCTCCAGCACAGATTTTGAGAGAAACACAGTTCAGCAATACCCATGACCACACCTTTGGGGATATGGGGACCACAGAAAGTCAAGGAGGCTGCCAGAACACTAATGTGAAATAAGTCATGATGGCAAGAAGGAAAAATCCCAAATCCCAAATCCCAAATGCCGGGGGCCACTCCACACAGACCCCACACTTCAGGGAGATCAAGGGCTTGGCCAGTGGGATGCATCCAGGAGGGCAAATGGCCTTAAGACTCTATGCATGGTCAGGCACAGTGGCTCACACACCTATAATCCCAGCACTTTGGGAGGCTGAGGCGAGTGGATTGCCTGAGCCCAGGGGTATGAGACCAGCTTGGAAAACTTGGTGAGATCTTGTCTCTATA